TCGATGCTGGAGCCGTCGCTTTTAACCCCGTCATCCATGAGGTCATGGAAAGAGGCAGGAGCGTAGCCCGCCATCCCCATGAATTTAGATGTGAGAGGGGGCAGCGTCAGCGTCCTTTGGAGCCCCCGCGTGTACGTGTCCACAGGGGACACGAGGCCGTAGGGACTCTGGTCGCATGGCGGTTGCAGTGGAGATAACGGGGTCCCTTCGGAGAGTTGGCGGAAGGTATTAAATAGCGAGTAAAGAACAATATGTACGTTACTCATAGTGGGGTTTGAGCCCAACGTGGGCTTGAAGCGAAGCGCAGGTGTCTCGTTTTTGAGGTCGTCGAGCGGCCCGGGGCCGGCGAGGCGCTCCTCCAGTGGGCGCCGAGACAGGTGCCTCCTCATGGAGGCAGAGTACGCCGAGTTGGTCGGCGACGAAGTCCAGACTTCCGAAGAGGAAGGACTGGAGCGGCTCGAAGACGGGAGGAACCCACATCCCCATAGGTGAGAGCGTGGAAAACTCCAACGAGCCGAAGCGAATCGTATCGCTTGAGCCCGCCATGTCGAAGATGGTGGAAAGATGGGCCATCCGATGACCAAAAGCGTGAACGCACGGCGTCCTCTCAACGGACGGCGCCAACTGTCGGTGCGAAAAGTGACCAACAAGTAAATATTTATAGTTTTGCCGCGCGTTGTGATCGGATGTGGCATAGCACTCAATGACACATGATTTATACTGGTTCAGACAACGTGCCCTACGTCCAGTTTCAGTCGTTCGGTGACTTTATTCCTGAGCCCAGGTGCTCAAAGTTTGTTGTGGGGTTACAAACGAGTATGGAATGAGAAGGGGGTGTTAGAGGCCCGGTCGGACTCTAAACCAAGTGGCTAAGAGTGACAGGTGTTCTGACGTGTGCTAAGTATTGGAGCGCATGCTCTATGTAGCTATTGAGTTCTAGAGCTGTGGAGCTATTCGAATGCTCAGGTTCTCTAGAGCCAGCCAGAGAGAGTCTGAACGACCGTCCCTGTTGGAAGAGAGCGCACCCCCTTTTATAGATGAAGGGGATGGCCTTACAAGTTAAAGAGAAAAAGAGAGAGAGTATGTACGTGTGCTATCTAGTCTTGTTACTCATGCCATCGGGTACCAAACGATTGTCGGCGCCCACAATACTGTTCATGCCTAGATGCGTCTGGTAGGTTTTACCGTGTTCGCCTGGTATGGTAAATGTCGGCGCCTATAATTCTGTAAGGCAAATGTCGATGCCTACGACACTGTTTGTGTTCTGACACGCCTGGAAGGTTGCATAGTACCCGTCTAGCAAGGCCTGATGGTATTGTCTTGCAGGTGTGCAGGGTATGGCAGGGCACGGTCCTCGGTATTACGGTTTAGCTTGAGCACCTTGTCTTATCTGCTCCGTCTGATCCTTGGGTCCTCACCGAGTGGGTGTCCCCGGTCGGTCGTTCCCAGTCGGCTCCGACCGTGCTGGTCGGAGAAGGATCACGAGCGGAGGTCTGACGTTTCCCCGGTCGGAAAAGGAGGTCGGAGTCGGACTGTGTCCCCTCCTTGGCCAGGCCTTCCAGTCGGAGACCGAATCATTCGACCGGTCGTCAGGTAACTGACCGGCCCGGGAGGCGCGCGTTGTCGCTACGCCGTCTGCTGGGCCAAGTTTTTTCTAGGAAACAGGTCTATTGGGGACCCCGGGTTTATGACCCCGACATAATGAGTCCGGTCTTTGTTTAATTTTTAATGAGCAGCTTGCTTGTGGATCTACCATGGCCCATGGGCTGATGGGGTGGTTAGCAATCCTTTACTTGACGAAATCTGTACCATGCTCCCCGGCACCAGATTTAGCTACGTCAGCGGGAAAACCTCAGCACCTCATTGGGCCACGTCGCCTTCTTTTTCTCCACTGTCGGATTTTGATAGGGCCGTCGAAACCATCATCTCCAGTGCCTTCTCGACTCCTGTGTTGCCGCGCTGCAGCTGCCGCCTCCCTCCGCCCTTGCTCCATCTCGTATTCTCGTGCCATCCTCCGCCGCCCCCGCACCTCCCTCCTCCTCCCGGCGCAGGCAGGGAGGTCAGTGGCCCCAGCACGGGCGGGGTGCGGGTGCCGCGGGCGCGTCGTTCCCGGCCATCCCTGCGCGGGTGGGAGCCCCAGCGGCCCCGGCGGCCACGACGCAGCGGGGTGCGGACATGGCTGGCACGGGCGTGGCCCTGCGACCCCGGCGCGGCCGGTGGTGCGGGCGTGGCGGCTTCAGCCACCCCGGAGAGAGCGGCAGACGCAGGCAAGGCGGCTGCGGCCACTCGGGCGCGGGCGTAAAGCTAGAGCGCTGCAGCGCCGGCGGACCCCTCCCACGGCGACCCCAACGCGGCGTCCCTCGCAATGAAGGTCTCGGCCGTCCCATATTCCCGTCGCATCTCTCCCCCCAGTGTCGCCGCACCTACACTATGCGCTCGGTCTCCTCCCTTGTCCTCTGCCATCGCTGCTATTCCATCTAGCTAAGCTCTTTCATCTCTATATATGTCAACTATCATAGCAGAGGAGGGCATGCAGGCAATGTGCATGACGAAATGTCACTGCAGGTTGCAGCAGCGGACTGTTACACTAAGGGGGCCTCAAGGTTGCTGCTACGAGGAAGAAGATTAAATTGGAACAAAACACCATGTCTTGAGCATTAATCTACTGGCTTTCTCCTTCAATTCATTATAACAGTAAGCACCCAAAGGTTTGCATCCTTATATTGCTTCAAAAATCTTCACATAGAAATTAATGGCTTGATATACCGAAGTACTTGTTTTCATAAAATTAATGGCTTGATATACCGAAGTACTTGTTTTCATAAGTGAATCATGTCTTGTTGCTAATATTTTGCATTTCAGCTTCATAGATAGATTATAAGTTCTATTATGCCATCTGCCCATCCCATAGCCATATACTAATGGAAATTTCTTTGACACTTTACTGATCTTAATATAGAGGAGGCACCATGTGAATGCCCATCAAGTATTTGACTTCTTGCCTATACCATATCCAGTACCGACAATACTAGTACTTCCATACTATGATTTTTCTTAGCATAGCTCCATGCAATGTCTTATAATATCTCATACTATTACAACTTTGTCAATTAACAACCTATAGAACAAATGACCAATTCAACTTCTATGAAGTACTGTTTTCACTCAAAATAGTTGGTGTAGTAGCCTGCTGTAAATTACAGCTCCAAAATTGACTTATCTTCACTCGTAAGCCTAATAATAAACTTTGTTTTACTTTCCCATCTATTAATGGTTCTAAATATTCCTCTGTTAATCCTGTCAGATTTCAACCAGAAGCACCCACCGCAGGAGTTGATTGCAAAGGACCTTCATGGCTATCAGTGGAAATTTCACCATAACTTTTGGAGGAAGTACTTTTTTCAGTTGCTTTTGTTGGTTTGTAATATTATAAATTTTCCCCATAAATGCATAGCCTACATTCGGACTTGTATCACACAATTCATGAAATAGCCTTATATACAAGTCTGACAATAGTAACTTACAATTAACTTGTCTGCACATCAACCAAAGCACCATCTTTGCTAGAGACCCTGCACTTTTTATCTGGTATGGCATTCTTTCAGTATTTCGGAGCCGTGACTCATTTTTTTACTTTCTTTTAAAAATTGTATCTGTATATGTGTACGGCCAAATATATGGATGCCCTAGGAATCCAGCTTCATATATGCTAAAAGATGGTATGTCAGTTTTAACAATTATGTGTACGACTAATTTGCAAAGTATAAATTATGCCGCTTAGTTAGAACTAAGAATTCAATTTGATAGGGCATAATTTTTCATATACTGAATTATTTTATCAATTGGATTTTTGTATTGCTTTCTTATCTCTCTGTCCTGTGCTTTTTGGTCTTTATTTTTTAAACTCTTTTTTATGTATTCTTTGCAGGTCAATGATTTCATGCTGATATAAGATAGAGCAAACAATATGGAACATATTTTTTTCATGAAGGGACCTCCAAATAGGCTGCAGTCAAACTTAACTAAAGATTTGGGTCTCGAATTTAACAAAGGGATAAACAATATACTATGCTCTAGCCAAAGCCAGAATATGATCAGTTTATACTAATGCTGGTCAACCTGGCTCACTCTCAAAAGAGACCCCCTATTGAATGACACGCTCAAGCACCACAAATGCTTCAGAGAGACATATCTCATTGCCAAACACCATCTCTCCCTAAATAATATCTGCATAATGTAATAGGGTTACAATACTACAAGAGCTAGTACTTAAAAATAGGTATCTGATTAATCACTGTACGTATATAGTTCAGCATTTTTTGCCACAACGGGATGGCCAATACAAAGGACGCTCGGCAAAGCCGCGCGGTCTTTTCTAGTTATACTGGAAGTATATGTGACATCACTGCTCGTATCGGCACTCCTACGTTTCTGATACATGGCGGCAAATAAACAGATTTTGCTGATCACCAGATACTGATGCTGACAGACTCAAATAATTTGGGCCTTCAGAACGCAGGACTTTCCCAGAAATTATACAGAAATTTTATACGCATCAGATGATTTTTATAGAAAAAACACAGGAAACATAAATTTTTCTGCATTCAAAAGAGGACCTAAATGATCAGCAACTGTATATACCTGTACATACGGACGTGAATAATCGAGTGATCAGCGTGCTTTATATAACCATAAAACCAAACGGCATAGCGCGAGTACACCATACCTCACAGTTCATTACGATCCATTAATCGACTCACAGATTTACAGCACTGTTCAAAGAATCCTTAGCCCTAAAATCTATCAGACCAATTTACAATGTACTAATCCAGTTCACACGTCCCAGTAATTAATAATCAAAAGAATCCCTCCCGATTGTCTGGTAATGTCCCTTTTGAGATGAAAAATAGTAAATGTCTACTACAGTCTACAGTGTGCTGTACATGAAGCGAAGCAACGCAAACATGAAGTACTTGTTGATAGAAGTCACAAACATTACGTCATCTTATAAATTTCAGCCTTTTCCTCTTTACCGGAGGAGCCAAACCAAGGTCTTTACAGAGGTGCTCCTCAGGCTGCAGCGTCTTGGGAACAGCACCAAATGCACAGCGAGTGACTTCCAGACCTGAGAGGGCTTGGTGCAGGTAAACTGACGCGTCCTCTAAGTTCTGTTTCAGTTTACGAGTTCTTAGAAAAGCAGGCAACAAAGCCCTCGAGCTTTGATGGGTCCTGGACTCCGGCACATGAGGATTTATATCAGCAGCCTCAATGAATCTCTGAGTCGCAGCCTCCTATGACAACTCGTACCTCTGCGCGTCTGTCAATGGAGCAGGCTGCTCTGATAGAGCATTCAGTGTTAGTTGTACAAACTCGTCTTCATTGTCATAGATACGGCAGTTGGGGAATTGCTTGAAGAACTCATTTGACGGGTGATTGGCATATATAACTATCTTTCCCATCGCCAGGGCTTCAGCGGTGGTCATACAGACCACATCTGTGGTGCTGGGATTTATGAACACTTTATACCTGTTGGAGAATCAGTGTTTCAAACTTTCAGTCCAGCACAAACAGTTGGTGTATCCTAAGTACATCAGAAATGTTAAATCTTATTACGAAACTACCAGGTCATCTAACATTACTACTCATTCCCTAATCTCGTTTACATAACTTTGTGTTACCTGTGTTTCAGTTCACTAAGATCACACAACTTAATACATATTTATCTAATAATGTTGACAAAAAACTGAAGAAGAAATTGCTTTTGCTGTCTTGACTCTTGACAATGGCAATACCAATTTTGCATTCAAACTCTTAACTTAGAACCGAGGGATGTGTTAAGCATGTTACACATGTACAAATGTCTAACAGAATAAGACGGGATGGGTATAGTAAATAAGAAACTTACTCATGGAACAAGGGATCTGCATGATCACGACCAGGATGAACATTGACGGACAAACTTAAACGTTTGGCAGATTCACAGACCTCATCAGAATCTTCTCCGCTGCCATATAAATCCACTTCAAGACCAACCAACTTGCTCTGATATTTGGACAGCAGATCAAAAGCTCCCTGTATCCCTTACTCCATACCATCTTCCCGATGTGGTATGCCCCTTTTGTGAAGGCTTTCTCCCCATTCTGCAGCTGCCTCAACTTTAGCTTGCCTACCTCAAGAAATTTTGGATTAACACCATGGACATTGCATATAACAGACCTGGGAAGATCTTGGGTGGCACCTGACAATCTGATAATCTGCATTAAGATCAGGATAATTTAGTACATGGCTCAATCAATCAGGGGAAGGGCGGGCCTGGTGCAAGCGGTAGAGTCTTACCGCCTGTGACCGGAAGGTCCCGGGTTCGAGTCGCGGTCTCCTCGCATTGCACAAGTGAGGGTAAGGCTTGCCACTGACACCCTTCCCCAGACCCCGTACAGAGCGGGAGCTCTCTGCACTGGGTACGCTCAATCAATCAGGGCAGGATGATAACAACTGGGTGTTCAGTTTTCCAAACTCAACAATTTATATAGGAGGAGAAGGAAAATGAGCAAATGCATTTATATGAGAAAACTACAAGGTACATAAGTGACATATCTCTTGAATCTCATTTTTTACTTAGTATTGTAGCAATATAAGATAACATTGCATGCAAATACTGAACATTGTTATAAGTTCATTAAATAAGCAAGAGGCGACCGTGATTGGGTACCACCATAAAACTCTTCTAGAATGTTTGTTGTACATATAAGTATCTAATTGCACTTCTACAGTAAGGTTAGCTACTTAACAAGAAAGTATGCCTATTCCTAGCATATCCCATCATGATTGAAACTAAAAAAATTATGTGTCGAAATCCAGACTCTTGCTCGCCCTTTGTATTTAGAACTAAAACAAATCATCCTTAACCAAATCTATACTGATTGCATATGTCCATACAAAGCAAAAGACCAATGCACAATGTTCAAGTTCCAGTGGTAGAGCAGCACACCAGACCTTACAAAATCATTGACAAGTTACAAAGTGTTGGATTCTCTCGCTACTGCAGAAATTATCTAATAAATTTGTTAGATGGTTTTACTTGCATTTCTCAATTCAACTCTACATACTTTTTTAAGGATTTTTTTTCTCTCGAATATGCCGTGCATCATTTCATTTAAGGAGAAAAAAAGACAAACACAAAGGAAACCGACATTTCCAACACAATGCTGCATACATCAACAGTTCAACACCCCCAACACCAGTTCGTAAAACAGGAGTGAAAAACGACCAGAAAGGACAGCAACTAGGTTAAAACACCTCTAGCCTTCCCCACAACCAAATTCTGAAGCTTTTAGCCCCAGAAGCACACCACAAAGATCCTCCGAAATAGAATGAACCAGCCAAATCAAATCTGGGGAGGCGTCATTAAAAACACAGTCATTTTGGAGCTTCCATAATTACGAATCCACTAAAATAATCAGTGTGCTAAGCTCTATCCTAAACACAGAGTGTTTCATGGGACCCCAACACATGATTTTTCTTTAAGGGTTCAAGGAGGAGGCTTCTCCAATCTCCAGTGAGAGTCTGCGGGTTTAGGGTTAGGGATTTGAGGGTTTTGAGGCTAGGGATTTCATAGTTACCCGGGCATAGAAGAAAGGCCAGCACGGTGGTGGAGGCGGTGGATGGGTGGGACAGCAAGCGGCGAGGGCACCACCAGGGTGGTGGAGGACAGCCGATGGGCAGGGTCGGGGCAGTGGCATAAAACCAAGGGAGGTTAGCATGGTGGCGAGCTGCGGTCACGAATTTGGCAGCGGGAGCTGCTGGTGATGGGAGGAGTATGGGATGGGGGCATCATGAGCTAGATGAGCTTGCTGGTGAGCAGATAGCGAAGGGGTTTTGGTCTGTGCAAGCTGTGAAGGTGGCCAAGGTAGAAGAAATACTGAGGAAGAAGATGTGATGATCATTGAATGAATGATCTATGGTAAAAAGTCGTCTTTTTTCTCCTAAAAACACTTGAACACTGTGAAGACAGACCCAAAATTAAGCAGCTTTTCTCATTCACCTGTCTTGCTTATAAGTTATACACAGTACCAACTATTTTTTGAGGGAAAGGCACCTATGGTATTCAGAGCATAAGACCAGGAGATAGACAGGATTATAACTAGAAAGAATATTGATACTATATCTGAAGAATATACTTTTGGCATGCATGCATGCATAATTATGAATAGCAAGTAAACACATTTATTCACATATTTCTATTTATCACAAAACACAAAATTGTAGATTGTTAACTTATGTCAAGAAAGAAGTGCCATCATAGTTCATAGACATAATGTTTACCAGAGGAATTTCATCGAAACAAATGATCCAGTGTAGATATGCATAGTTTCATACTCATGTGATTACCTTGTGGCAATAGATTCGAGTTACCCAAGTGTTAGCATACTTGAGGAAACAAGCAATAACTTGACCATTCTTTTCTCTCCTTACATATGCTAGATAATTTGTATGAACAATTCCTATAACTCGCCGGAACTTATTTTTCCATCTTCGCCCATGGTGGTACCAAGTCAGATGCTCGGGCTCTTCCAATACAGCAATGTCAGCAACTTCATCTGGAATGCATTCTGTAATATCTCCAACAGGGAGAATGCTTCTCATTTCTTTAGAAAACTGCATCATAAAAAAAGGAGTTAGGTTATCTTATTATCTTAAGTAGCAAAGCAATAAGTACAAAAATGAGATGCAAGACATGAATATTGTTAGATGGAGCTAACAGCTAACAGAAGCAAGGTCTGCGCGCATCAGACACTGAACAAAGTTTCGCTTAAATGCTTAGATTAGCTACAGGAAAGGAGCAGAACTCGTCAAAGAAATTGAATGAAGTGCTAGATAACCCCATGGCTCACATTGGATAAAATGATCAGTTTGAAACAAACTCCATTCAGGTCTTACTGGAGCGAGAGAGAAAAAACAATGCAAAGTGGAACAGAAGAGTAGACAAGATAATTCAAGTCACTAATTTGTGTTGATATCCTCTCGGTTTGACATAGAAATTACAAGGTGCAGAACTACTATACCTTCCCTGGGTAGAATTTGATGCTGAAGGATGGCCTAAAGTCAATCCTCTCCTCGATCCAGTGACGAACATAGCTCTCATGCTCCAAAGGCGAGTCAAATACAATCTTGTTAGGGTAAACCAACTCTTGGTCCCTTAGACAAAGCCAGGGGATCACTAGTGTGACATCCTTATCACCATCCTTGGCCAGGTAAGCGGTCCGGAACAAAGGGTTGATGGCTGTTCCCGTCATCCATGGGAGGCTTGCGGTGGTGAATATCGCAAAATGCCTCCTCGTCGACATAGCGTCTATCTCAGGGAGGGCAACGGATCACCACTCGCGTGCCACCCAAATTCGTTCTCCTAGCACATTTCCGTCTGTAAATCACAGACCAATGAATCAAGCAAAGCACAGAATGAGTATTACCAGCTGAGCAAATAGATTTCCTTCCTATCGAGTATCGAGCTACAGCCTACAGAAAGGTGCGTAAGCGGATTTGCAGCAGACAAAGAAATCAGCTGCATAAAAGCGAGCTATGGACGGAGCATTCCGGCCGTGGGCTAATTACTGACTGACCATGTGCGGCGAATCCATCCTCCGCCGAGAATTAGGGGAAACACAAGGGGGTTCGAGGGCTTACCAATAAACCCAAATCTCCGGTGTAGGAGGACTGTAGGAGGAAACGGGGCGGTAAGAGGCCGGACCAGGGGGAGATCGAGGCCAAGTTCTAGAAGGGTCGCGCCTCGCGCGAGAGGCTTCAGTGGGCTGGCGGCGACGCCGGCAGCTAGAGGAGGGTGGCGGCAACCGGCAAGGGTGAGAGCGGAGAGAGAGGGGAAAGGGAGCAAGCCGCGGGCCGTCTGTGTCGCGGTAGGTTGATCTGGGCCACACCGAAGCGTTTGGACGGATGGGAGTGGACGACAGAGCCAGGCGGGCTTTGTTTTGTACTAAAGAAAGATGATGGCCAACCGAGCAGGGATGGAATATACCGCCCCGGCGAGCGGCGACCAAACGTGCTCTATCGCTCCAGGTCCAACAGAATCCCAGTGTCGTGGTGTGGACGTGTGGTCTATGGACGAGGAGGGTGGAGGGAGAGGCGCCGGTAGTTATTGGGCCTGTTGGGCAGAGCTATTCTGAGTTCTGACTCTATGGATGCTGATTCTTCGAGAGGTCTTAGAAAAATGGCTAGTTAGCAGGATACTCCTTCCTCTCAACAAATACCACTTCGTTTACTTCGACCAACCTTCAGACAAGAGCTCTAGAGAGCATTCAAATCCCTCTCTTTCTCCCCTTTGATTTCTTGCTAGAGAGTGAAGGGAAGGATTCTGATGAGAGAAGTTGGGATTCACCTTGAGCACTTGATTTATCTGTCAAGCTGGTGTGGTTCATGTTTGTTACTCTTGGGCTTTGCCCCTGACCAGCTAGGCGTCGTACATGAAGCTCCCGTGCGGTGAGCTTCGGAAGGTTTGTAGGCAAGGTACAAAAATTGATGCGTCAAAATGTGCTTTGTTTGCAAAAAGTTCTCCAATGTGTAAACTTATTGCACATACTAAAGTGAGGCCAAAAACCTATGTGCTCTTTGCACCGGCTTAGAATACATAATGGAGCTGCCCTTATCACCAACAGCGATGATAAGAAAACTTTCTTTTTAGCACAAGAACCAATGGCTTCATCACCGACAATAAAGTACAAATAGGCAAACTCCAGCAGACAAATGACTAAATGATCATACTATCAGCAAACTGTATGAGATAGATGCTTTCGTATAGGAAGTATTCATTGCAGGTATATTTGCCGAGGACTAAACACAGATCATACTGTCACCAAACTGTATGGATGCTTTCGTATAGGAAGTATTCAATGCAGGTATATTTGCCAAGTACCTGGTATCCTATCATAACAATTGTGCTACAAATGAAAGTAGTAATATAGTAATAAAGAAATGCATAGTGATAATTAGGTCCCCCTTCATGACTTCTAATATCTAAAACATGAGATTCTGTAGCTCCTAGTTCAGGATGAAATTAATCCATATGCTTCTTTCCATGTATTAGCCAATACAAAAACGTTCAAGCGAGGCTATTGCAAAGGAGATAATGCATTAAAGGTGAACTTCCTTGTCAGGTTTATGAATAGCTTTACTTTTGAGTTGAATTGCTCTCTTGCACTCCCTGCATCTGCAACAACTTCTGCTGCTCCTCATCGTTCTCTTCCTTAGGCTCAACCTTGGGTGCCTTCGGTTTAGTGGTGGATTGCTGGTAGAGCACACCACCTGACATGCATATCAGGAGCCCAATGGTACCCACAAAAGAGGCATGCTTGTCCCAGATAAGCAAATTAATCACAACAGTCAGGAGCTTGTTCACTATGCCAAGCACTGTGAACCCAGTAGCAGAGATAGCCCGTCTGCAGGAGAATCCAAAGAAGGATATTGACAGTCCAAACAGGCATGAGAGAGCAACAGGGAGGACCACATCAAATGAAAGCCAGTTTGACACTTTGGAGCTATCGACCTTCATCTGATCAAATTCTCCCATTATAAGGAGCTCAAGGGGGAACAGCATCAAAGCCTCAAGGTTGTTGTATAGCACAAGGCCCCATGTGTTCAGCCCAATGGTCATTACGACGTGCTTGATGTACACGAAATCAATGGACATGCTTGCTAGGTAGGCCACTGCCCAGGTGTAAGCAGTCACAGTGAATTGGTTGTCTGTGAAAACATAGATCACACTTCCACCAAGTATTGTGGAAAGTGAAAGCCATGTCTTGAGTGATGGCCATGGCTGATGAAGATACAGCGTCTCTCCGATCGCGACAAATATAGGCACAGCAGAGCGGAACACAATGAAAGTATCCACATTGGCATGAAGCAGGAGCTCACTATTTGTGAAGATGGAGATATAGAACATCACAGCAGCAGGTAAGAACTTCCACATTGTCCTCAAATTAAGGCCGTCGTGCTCAATGAGCTTGAACTGTCCACATAGGAGAACTCCAGCAACACTAGTGAAGTACTGCAGAGCTGTCAGGGCTCCAGGATATGGAAATTTCATGACTGCCCATTTGTTGATGATGGAGAGCAGCGACGCTGATAAACAATACCCAGCAGCCACACCATAGACTGAGGCTTGCTGCATAAGAGTGTTCAATGTGTTACTCCAGGCTCCAGTTCTCTGGGTAGTACCTGAACCCTCAGGTGAAGAAGTATCTTCTTTTGAGGGGTCTGAGAGATTAGACATCTGCAACATGCAAACTACAATTACTAAAGCTTCAAAAAGATTCATGAATAGCTACTATAGCATATGGAACAAACTATGGCGCGCATGCATGTTCAAGGAAAACACACTAAAATCAATGCAGCAGAGAGTCAAGATTTTAAGGATAGGTTTCCATGTACTAGAATGTAAAGAAAGTATGTGACCATCCTAGAAGAATTTGATGAAGGGTAAAAGGATAAGAGGGTACAAATCTGTTTCTGTGTTCACTGTGTCATCAGTTCATATCATAATACCATATTATATGATACAATAAAATGAATTATTGACCATTACAAATACAGATCCCAGTTCATAATCTGAGCTAGTGCAGCGTATTGTCTTGTAAATATTTTATATCCTCCTTAATGCAATCATGAGTAGTTCTGTGCATTCGAGAGAGAAAAAAAACTCCTAGTACTCTAGTTATGAGACACTGAATTCTTCAACTGCATTTGGTTTAAAATGCTAGACAACAGACATTGTTCATCACATTGCTTGCTTATGTAGGAGTTTTAACTCCTAATAAACAAGGCTGCAACCATGGTAAAGGGAACAGGTAGGTCAACAGCATTTGAAAACCACAAATACACATGAAGATAGTAATATGCATGCCATATTGCTAGTGAACTCTCTCACATATTCTATTCCATTACAATATGTAACTGTACCATAACATAGAGCAAACAAATTGGCACGAGGGGGGGAGGGTGGGTCAGAAATTGCTGTCCTCTAAATAGGATCGCCCACCTTTCACCCATGAAATTTCAATTGTTTGCCAACCCAGATAATTCTTTAACCAACCTTGTCATTCATATAATGCCAAGGGAACACATATTTTGACGTCTGATGATACCAACTGGAACTTAAAACCTCTATATATGTAAATCTGACAAGATACTAATGCAGTAATGGACTATCCAGAAGAATGCCCAAAAACTATGCACAACACAAAATATACAGAGCCTTGACATTTTGTAACTCCAAATTTGGCCCAGCCCCCAGATCAACATCTTCCAATCAAATTTCACACAGTAATAATTGAGATTATCAGCACTCCTCACAAATATATTCATGCCTGCCAGAATTAGTTGTACTACTCATTAATTTGTGCTATAAAGAGTTCATCACCATCACATATTAAAGATCAAAGCATATTTTCATGCACTCCTAATTGGGATTGGTATGAACTTCTAACAGCCCGTTCGGCAGGCCGTAAACGATCGTGGATTATTTACTGCTGGCTGGTTTGGGGTGAGAGAAAAATACTGTTCCAGCTTATAATCCATGATCGTATACGAGCGAGCGAACAGGCTGTAAGGATGCACTTCCAACACATATATGCCAAATAAGAAATCAACTCTAAGTCATGATTAACAAGCTTATAGCTGTAGCCGGCAAGTGCTCATTTACTGAATAAAAGAAATAGCGTTTATCAAATGGTGCTAACAAACAATCCAATATTGAGTAACTTTACAACTCTGAGAAACTTAATAGAAAGAAATTAAATCTCTGCTTCATGTGTTAAGCCATCCTGTTTATCTTCTGTAGCAAGCATATACCCAATCCAAATTTTCTGATACAAAACCAGCAAGCATGGTAAAGGCTCAAGAAGGTCAAACAAAGACAAAACAAGATGAAACAAACATCAAAAGACAGACAACAGGTACTTAAAATAAATCGCACGACAAAATCAAAGGCACAAGATGAGGCAGCAGGACTTCATCAAAGAATCAGAAGAAGATCAAACTATGCCGCCTATAAAGAACTAAGTATCCAAGCAAAGATCAACAAATACCTTGTAACGTCCAATCCGGGAATTCGCCATGCCTTAAAACCAAAATTGAACACCAAATGATCTAGGTATGAAGCATGTATCTTTTTAAGGCAGCGGAGGATGCCCGAGGTGGCAAGAGAAAGAGGGAAGACCAGTATGCAACAGCCACCGAGCAGCTAGCCCTATCAACTAATCTCGCGGGGTATAATGCGTTAGTCCATGACAGCCAGGAAAGTCAAACAAGCTTGGGGCCGTCACAAGCATGTTAGGTTGCT